GTGAATTGGGTGTTCAGGGTGAGGCATTCTCAAGGTCCAACAGTAACCGTTTGAGACAATTCAGGGAATGGCACACTTTAACAACATGAAAGAAATCTATTGAAGGGGTTAGAAAATTCACAGAAAGATCTTTTATGAAGTGGCAATAACATTTGAGTATCCGATCCTTTCAAATGCAATGCCAAAATGGAATTTCTACTTTGAATTACTTCCCTATGCAAAAACTTGTATTTATTTGACTGAAGCCTAAAAAAAAAAATCAGACAAGTTGTCTGGTTGTCTGTCAAAAAGCCAACTCCTCCCACTGCCCCACCCCCAGGTGCCAGATGTAGCAAGGGGTGTCCTGTCTGTGTCAAAAATTTTATTCCAAGCAAACCCTTAGATCTGTTTGCAGCCTCATCTCATTAAAGTGTCTTCATTGTCACAAAACGTGGATTTTACATTCATGAGTTCTTTGAAAGACTCTGTCCCTTCCAGCCCAAGATGCCGCTGGTGGACAGTAGCATTTTATGGGCCGTCTCTTTGAAGGAATGGCTGGCTGCTTGAGCCTTGGGGTCTGAGGGACCACAGCTTCAACCCTTTGCAAGAGGCAGGACCAATGGGCCAGCTCACTGGGGGGAGGTGGGGGTGGCAATGCTCTGAGCTTGGAGCACCAAGGCCCCCAGGCTGAAATGCTCCTTCTAGAGCCTTCTAGAACCTCGACATCCGGAAAGACTGGTTAGCTAAGAGTCAAGCGAGACTCCCTCCGTCACACCCACTCCTTTGCTCCACCCTAACAAGTCAGCACTGAAACACCAGGGACATCAGCAGTTTCTTCCTTCCTAAGACATTTTAATCACCTGAACAACAATGAAACTATGTCTGCGTTTAGAGAAAAAAAAATATTGTGGAAAGCTCTTTTGTCTCATTCAGTGGATCTGACCAACAATTAGTCAGCTTAATGCAGAATCCTATTGTCCTTTTTTCCCCCTAAACAGATGAAAATCCTACAACAGTGCTAATAAGAGAATATAATGGTTATCAGATAATTGTTTCCCAGGAACACAACAGATTAAAAACAGAGGGGTCGGTGCTGTGGCTCAGCCAGGTAAAGCCACGGCCTGCAGTGCCAGCAACCCATATGGGCGCCAGTTCAAGTCCCAGCTGCTCCACTTCAGAACCAGTTCCCTGCTAATGCACCTGGGAAAGCAGCAGAAGATGGCCCAAGTGCTTGGGCCCCTGCACCCACGTGGGAGATCCAGAGGAAGCTCCTGGCTCCTGGCTTCAGCCTGGCCCAGCCTGGCCATTGCAGCCATTTGGGGAGTGAACCAGATGATGGAAGACCTCTCCCTCTCTGTCTCTCCTCTCCCTGTAACTCTTTCAAATAAATAAATAAATCTTAAAAGAAAAAAGAAACAGAAACTCAGGTTAAGCGCAAAGTTTACAAGTAGAAAAGATGAATCCTAATGACAAAGATCTTTTTTCTTGGGTCCTGTGGCATCCTGGATTCCAATCCAGCTCAGTCACTCACCTGGACCCTGTGTGAGGACCCTAGCCTCACTCTGCCCTCTGTAAACTGGTTAAGTTTACCGTGAGACGTGAGCTAACGTACGTAGTACCCCTGGCCCAGCATTGGCGCTTGTTTGCCAGGTAATGGTAACCACTACTGGCCACAGATCTGGTATTTTTATAAAATCTATGAAGTAACCAGATTTCATAAGCACGTCAGGGCTACCTGCCACACATGAAGCTAACCCGAAGCTTAACTTTGCAATCACTTCCCAGAAAAAGTATTTAGAGCATCCATTCTCTGAGTCACCAAGCACAGAGCCTGTTTGCTCAGACTCTCCCTCCTCCACGCCATGTCCCAGCTGAAGCTGTCACTCCGCCTGGGTGCGCCTGCTTTCCCACGCGCCCAGCACCTTGCTGCAGGCTCAGGATCGCCCTCCTTCTCAGGTGCAAGGGTTCCCCGCAGTCCCTCCCACTCCACGCCACCTGGCGTAGCCTGCACCTTCAACGGGCTGGCTCCCCTCCGCCTCGTGGCATTCAAGGTCTCCTACACTCTGGCCCAAAAGGCTCCTGCCCTTTGCCTCCTGCTGCCTCCCCACGCACAGTGAACACTCAGAAAGGAGCCTGCGTCGTGGTCCTCAGACCTCTCTCACCCTCTCACCCCTGCCCTGGGGGCTGCTCTCTGCCCGGCCCTCTTCACCCACTGGCACACTGCAAAGCCAGATTTCCTTTCGAAGCCTGACAAGTGCCCCATGACGGGTGTTCTCTGGGCTCCTCCTGAGGGCGACTCCTGGATCTCGTGTCCCTTGCCCATCCACAGTCTGGACCTTGCGTCCCCGTCTTCTTGAAAAGTCTCTGTCGTCCCTTTGACTCATGCAATGCGTGCAGCAGGTGCCCAGCACCGACCTGCAGAATGAGTACGTGGAATTCGAGATGCTGGGGGTATTGCGGCATCACAGGCCTGTCCAGTCTCAAAGCCCAGCTGGGAAGGCCCAGGGAGGACAAGGGGAGGGGCCCTGGGTTCTCAGGGAGTGGACCCTGGGGTCTTGGGCACATCTTAGTGTGGTGTTTGCGCAGGCTCTGTGTCCTTTCTCCCAAATACACTGCAATTATGAAAAGTAACTTAAACTTATTTAAAAAGGGCATCGACTAGTGTTCCGCTCTGCAATGCTGAGCTCTGGAGAAAAGTCAGCACGAATGTTACAGCCCCATATTTCTGCAGCTTAGTGACTTCACTCGGCTTCTAATCCTGCAAAATCCACAGTCATCCGTGAAAGATCTAACCGCTGGGCTTCGCCACTTTGGTAACAAAGTTCACCATAAATTAGAAATGTAGCTACAGGAACAAGACTACAATCATTCTGCTGTAATTCAAAACAACACAGTGCTCCACACAAGCACAACCCAAAGTGTACATCTTCCAAAACTATGTATATTATCGAGCGTGACCACTGGCCAATTAACAAAATCGTACACCGAAGTTGTTAAATTACATAGCTGCAGACTCCATCCAACCTTAAAAAAATAAGATACAAAGGCCAGATGGGGGAGGGGGAGGGGTGCGAATTACCGCACAAATGAGACCTAATACCGCCCTCAAAGTGCCTGTGCAAGGGACAGACAGAACAGACATGTTTTCCAGTCACTACACGGGGCAGAGTGACAGCTGAGTCCCTACACGCCATCTAGCTAGTTTAAGGACAAGCTAAATCATTCAGCCCACAAAGCGGCCGTTTTTGGAAATCAATGTGTTTAAATCCAACCAGCAGTTTTCTTACTGATTTTTGTGCTAAAAAAAAAAAAAAAAAAAACCAGCAAACCCCTTTCCTTAGCAAACTCCTGCTCCGAAAGAGCACCTGTGACGTCGTCACTACCCAGGGTCAGACAGCAGGGCGCAAGGGCTCCCTGGGTGGGAGGGGCCAGGAGGCGGCGCACGCCAGAGCCAAAGGCCCCCTGCGCACCAAACTCTGACTTAACCAGAAAAACAGGCGGCGCGGCCCAGCGCCTGCAGAGTCAGCGTTCGCGGGCTGTGAGGGAGGCAGCTACACCCCTCCCGGCCGCACAGGCTCGGCTCCGGACAGGAAGGACCACCACCGAGGGCCTCAGGCCGCCCGGCCGGACGCCCCGCTGCTGTCGACACCGCATCGATGGGGGGAGAGGGAAAGCATCCTCCACGTAGGGAAATCTTCCCCTGGGGTCTTTTCCCTGCCCGGGGGAATGTAGCACTTGACAGTTTTATAAACAGACTTTATTTACGGCGGAAAACCAGAGCCCAAGAAACTCCACACGAGGGCAGCCAGCCTCCCCACAGACACGTTGCAACCTCGTATCTCTGTGCAAGCCCCGAGCCGGGGAATGCACTAACTAAAATCTCCTCTCGAAAAGACGTAAGAAGCCAAGAGACTGATATTCAACTCATTGAACCGACTCCTGTCAACTTAGAAGAGAAGAAATCGAGGCTAGCAGTTTATCAAGCACTAAACATGTGTGTGCAATCCACACCTAAAGGTTGCGCTTCCCAAATCCTGGAAGACTGCGAGAAAAAAAGAAAAAGGCTCAGATTTAAATGGCCAGTAAAGACCTCAACTTTAAAAGCCGAGTTTCCATTCCTCCTACTGCTTGGCACAAGTGCCCTGGAAACCCCCAAGAGTCCCTTGTTCAAAAATTGGGACAATTTGTTTCGCAGAGAGACAGAATAAATGATCGATACGATCCGGTTATAAACAAGCGAATCTGAGCGGAAAACAAGCTGCAACTCCATCCAAACTGCCCCAGGGGTGTTCCGGGGGCTCTGGCCCAGCCGCGGGCCTGGGCGCCCCGGGACCGCGTCCTGCGGGTCAGCTCCGAGCCTCCGGGCCCAAAGCCCGGCGCGGGGCGCGCAGGCCCGGGCGGGAACGCTCGGCGGAGAGCGCCTTGCGGAGCTGCCCCCGCGCGCCCCACGACCCCTCGCCGGGGGCCTGGGCCCGGGGCCGCGCTCCCCTCCGCAGCCCCCCACCCCCACCAACACCACCCAAACCCGAGGGCGGACCCCGAGCCGGCGCTGCGCCAACCAGGCCCCGGGGTCGCTCTTTCAAAGCGAGAAACAAAGGGCTGGGTGCGGGGCCGCAGGTGAGCTCGCCAGTCCCCGGCGGGCGGCCGAGGCCCCCACACCGACGCCATCCGTCGGGCTGACCAGGAATTCGGGGTGAGCCCGCACAGACGGCGGGGCGCTCCGTGCCCCCGTGGCCGCCGCCTCTCGCTCCTTTACTCTTTTTACTTCTGATCACAGTCCGAGGGAACAGGTTCCACGAGTGCGGGCCGCTCCTGCCCGCGTCGCCTGCCCGCCGGGCCCGGCCAGGGCACCTGGAGACGCCGGCCCGCGCGCCGCGCCCCTCCGGCCTCCGGCTGGAAGCAGGAAGGTGGAACTGAGCGCCCGCGCGCGGCGTCGCGGCACCTGCGGCAGGAGAACCGTCTCCTGCCCGCCCCGGGGCCGTGGGGCTCGGCCGGGACACGGCTCCCGGGCCGGTACCCACCAGTAGCCGTCGGAGTTCTGGTCGACCGTGCAGCGCCGGGAGTAGTACATCCGGCCCGGGCCCCCGCCGCCGCCGCCGCCGCCGCCGCCGCCGCCGCTGCCGCCACCCCCGCCGCCGCCGCCGTAGGTCACCTCGTAGCGCAGGTCCGGGCCGGACTCGGCGCGGGTCATGCGGCCCAGCGTGTTGATCCGCGGGTGGGAGCCTCCGTTGCAGCTCATGTCGGCGGGCGCTCAGGAGAGCGGCTCAGCGCCGAGGCATGCGCCGGGCAGGCTCCGAGATGGCGCTGGGGGTCCCGGGAGGGCGGGCCGCCGGGGCCGGGGGCGTTGCGGGACGCGCGCTCGGAGTGCGGCGAGGACGCTCCTGTCCGGCGCAGGAGCGGGAGCTGTGGCTCGGAGGGCGGCGAGGGCGCAGAGGAGCTGGGTCGCGGCGGGGTGTTGGTGTTGGTCGGCGGGGGCGCGAGTCTCCTCCCCGCTGGCACACGGCGCCGAGGCCACACCTGGCCGCCTCCTTCCCAGGGCGGGGTGCGGCCGCCGCCCCCGCCCCCCGCGGCGGTCAGCGACGCGCCCGGGCCGCCCCTCCCCGCCTGCGCCCGCTGCCCGGCGGCGCCGCCGAGGCCGGCAGCAGGGGCGGGGGCCCCGCGACCCCGGGACGCGCGCGGCCCCGAAAGCCGGGCCGGGCTTTGGAGGAGCTGCTCGCTCCCCAGGGCGGGGTCGGGTGGGCTAATCCGGAATGGAAGGGGCCCTCGCTCGCTCGCTCGCTCGCACGATTGCTCATTCATCGTTTGCTTTTGCTCATCCTTGGACGGGACGGAATCCAGCTGGGGAAGGGAACGCGCAGCACGGGAGGGGTTGGTTTTGTTTGGGACTTTTCCGTAATCCGGGAAATTGCTGAAGTCTGATTTCTGACATGTGAAAACCACCCATGTCTGCAGCCCTCATCCCTGGGATGGTCTGAGAGTGTACGCGGCTATATCTTTTCTTTGCAACACGGAGGGTCATTTTAAACCGGAGATTGTAAGGATTGCAGACCTAGTTTGTACATTCCGCGAAAGGTGGTTTGCTGGTCTGGCGCGGCTGCTGGGTGCGCTCTCCCCACTCCCCGGCCCGGCCCCCTTTGGGCGGCCCAGGCCCTCCTGGGGCCTGAGAACCCTGGACAGATAACATCCCGTTGGGCACAGAGGAGTACATCGGAGCCAGGACATTCCAGCGCCTCGTTCCTGGGCCACTCCCGTTTAATGGCTGCGCGTGAGCCGCGCCGAAGCCTCCATCGGCCGGAGACCTGGCCACTCTGTCCATTAGCAGCTGTTTCAGTCACTTGGGAAACTGTAAAGATCTTTAAGTATTTCTCATTTGCTCAAAGAATGCCAGCCAACTTGCCTTCTTATACCATGTATTTCTAAAATATTTCTGAACTGAGAAACAAAAATCCAACTGCATTGGCATGAGCACCTCTGAAGACACCTTGACCTTTGGAACACAATCTTGGACAAAACGTCCTGTCTTCTTCCACCGCTGGTGGCAGAGGTAACCAGCCAGACAGACCAGGAGATCAAAAATTCACCGGTGGCAACACCCCAGCCGTTTCCACCAATTCTGTCTCAGTCTCCTCTCGTTCTTAACAAAGGCGAGTGTGGCTGAGTGTTCGTGTTCATGGGAGCACACTGATGGAGAGACAAGACGTGTTCCTTCTGAATCGGAACCCATGGCTGCCCGTCAGCCTCAGCACAGACAGCCCATAATATCCACTGACTGGGAGGTGCCCCTACAGATTTTTATTGAGGCTTGTTTCCCTCTGTGTGCACGTGACTATAACCTACTATGTAGAAGAACCAGGGCCAGACTCTGCAAAACACAAAGGCACAGTCACCTGTCTTTAAAAAATGTTACAGTAAAGCTTCAACTTGGAAAATTCAAGGACTCCTTTGTTTCCAGTAATGTGTAATTTAAAAAGTGCATGTGATTGCACAGACTTCTTAAAAACAACACACGTATCTGTGAACCACCTCCAGTGATGACAAAAGTTCCTCTGAGCCAAGGGGCTCCCATTGGGCACCCAGGAACTCAGCCAAACAGCACCCAGGCTCAGAGCTCTTCCATCTGGTTACGAAATGGGAAGGGGTGAAAATCGCAACCTGCCAGTTACACTCTGACGGCTGCCATTGCCTCCTGGACCCTTACTGCTCTCTAAACTCCTGGAGGTGTTCCCCAAGACACACCAGGCCTCCAGCCCGCCAGACCCGCAGATGGGGGAGACAGTGCCTCTCACTTGTCTTTCTACAGGTGATGGAGGAAGGTAAGACAATGAAATATGTAGACGAACATGCTAGAGAGATGGAATCCAGACACACACACACACAACGTTGGCTGTCTAGGCTGGCTCATGTGGTGGTGAAGGTTCAGGCTCAAGTGACCAGAGTTCTGATCCTGATGCTACAGTTGACGTGGGCAAGAGTCCAATTTCATGTGCAAAGTGGAAACAATAATACTTGCTCTGCCAAATTTCTGGATCTACAGTGAGGAACAAATGAGACCGGGGAAGGTTGCATAAAGCTTACAGGTACCACCCGTTAAACCGAAGGCTCTTCTTGAAGACGAACCTTTGGAGTTTCTGTCTTTATCCTTTTAGTGAACTAGTAAACCTCCCCCTTGGGAGCACCGAACATTCATTCACTTAGATCTACTGATCGGACATGCATTCATCCTTATTGGACGTCTGTAGCATCAATGCAATGAATAAGGCAGCACTCTTGTTATACTGTAGGAGATCAAAGTCTATAATGAGAAAACAAATCATTCTAACACCATACCAGGTGTGCTACAAAAACAGTGGCACGTTTCCAGAATTGTCGGGGCACAGCTAAGTGGTGTAAAAGCTCCTGGTTTCTGACAGATGCTTTAAAGTTTAGAACCGAAGTCTGGCAAAGCCTTCGTTCGCTGAGCCGAGTGAGGTAGCTATTTTTGCCCTGCCACTTGTAGATAGGGCCCTTGTACTGATACAGAGGTCACCTCGGGCAGCTTTCTCTCTGGCTCACCTTCGAAATGACCTTGGAGTTAGGAAAGAACCATCTGGCATATCCTGAGCAGACTTCTAGAACTGAACAGAACACCTTGATTTCGGTGAAATTGAAAGGAGTCATTTACTTGCTCTAAAATCCCGTGGGAACACTCATATCTGTTTGTTGGTAAGTGATATCCCTTTGTCAGAGAAAGATTTGCAGCCCCATGAGTTAAAGCAACTGTTCTGCCTGCCAGGGGAGTTGTATTTTAATAAATCAGAACTAAAAACAGAGGCTAGGATTGGAACACCTATTAAAATGGCAGATAATTAAAATTTTAGTAGTAGGGCCGGCACCGCGGCTCACTATGCTAATCCTCTGCCTTGCGTCACCGGCACACCGGGTTCTAGTCCCGGTCGGGGCGCCAGATTCTGTCCCGGTTGCCCCTCTTCCAGGCCAGCTCTCTGCTGTGGCCCGGGAGTGCAGTGGAGGATGGCCCAAGTGCTTGGGCCCTGCACCCCATGGGAGACCAGGAGAAGCACCTGGCTCCTGCCATCGGATCAGCGCGGTGCACTGGCCGCAGCGCGGCGGCCATTGGAGGGTGAACCAACGGCAAAGGAAGACCTTTCTCTCTGTCTCTCTCTCTCACTATCCACTCTGCCTGTCAAAAAAAAAAAAATTTAGTAGTAGGATACACACACACATAAAGGCATTTCAAAAAGTTCACGGAAAACAGAATTAAAAGATAAGTGTGTTTATTTTGGTGTTCAAAAATTTGAAGTTGGGGCTGATGCTGTGGTGCGGCAGCTTAAACTGCCACCTGCGACCCTGGCATCCCACTGGCATCCCTGTTCCAGTCCCAGCGGCTCTATTTCCGACCAAGTTCCCTGGTTACGCACCTGGGAAAGCAGCAGGAGACCGCCCAAGGACTTGAGCCCCTGCCACCCAGCGGGGTTCCAGGCTCATGGTTTCAGCCTGACCTAACCCTGGCCGTTGCAGCTATTTGAGGAGTAAACCAGCGGATGGATGATTTCTCGCTCTTTCCCTCTCTCCATAAATCCAATTTTCAAATAAATAAGTTTTTTTTTTTAATTTGAAACCCAGGCATGTGAGTGCATATTCTTTCCTACTGTTCCATTTGATTTTTTTCAATTTTTTAAAAAAATTTACTTATTTATTTGAAAGGCAGAGAGAGATCTTCCATCCACTGGTTCATTCTTCAAATGCCCACAACAGTCATTACTGGATCAACCCAAAGACATGACCCCAGAATTCAATCGAGGTCTCCCTTGTGGGGGCAGGGACCCAGTTGTCACCTGCTGCTTCCCAGAATGTGCAGTAGCAGGAAATCAGAAGTGGAACCAGAACTTGAACTCTGGTAGTCCAGTGCGGGATGTTGATGTCCCAGGCAACATCTGGCCCATTGCACCAAACACCTGCCCCTTGCTCTTCTGTTTGCACACACAAATTAGAATCCTCTGTAAAACTGATCTCTCCTAGCTAAAATTGTTGAAATTATTCAAAGCTTTTGTCGAAGAAAGCAGTTTGATAAATCATTAAAGTTATTCAGAAACATATAAACCCCAGTTATCTTTATTTCCCTTGGTAAAATTCTCCCTCAGGAGAATTTTTCTGTTTGTAAACAGAAAATTTTTAAACAGGGAAAGTAGTTAACTTTATAATTTTTTCTGATTTATTTATATGTATTTATTTGAAAGAGACAGACACAGAAAGAGGTCTTCCATTTGCTGGTTCACTCCATGAATGCCTGTAACAGCCAGAGATGGGACAGGTGGAAGCCGGGAGCCTGAGACTTTACCTGGGTGGCAGGGACTTGAGCCATAACCTGCCAAGTTCAACTGGAAGCAGAGCAGGGACTTGAACCCAGGCACTTCTCTCTGGAAGTGAGAACCCCATTTGGTGTCTTAACCTATTGTGCCAAACACCACCCCCCATTTTAGAAATTAAACAGCTGAGGGGAAGATCTCAAGCACACTTTCTGTCAGCACAGTGATGAGGTATTATTGCTGTTGTTTCATTTTTGCACAGGCGATAGCTAACAAAGTGCGCTATCATTTGTGTTTTAAGGGGATGTTTTTCAACTGCCTTTCATTGGGTAGGTTGGATAGTGGGGATTTACCACACTCTTCCGTCTGGTTCTCTTTTTCATTAGGAGCCCAGGTTTGTGAGATGGGAGACTGGAGGTTAGGGGTGCCAACGATATGGGTGCCACACCAGGGCCACCCATGCCTTTGGCCAAGAGACTTCTAACCCTCCAAACTACACAACTCTCTCGTGGGCAAGCCATCTGGTCAATAAATACAAGAGTGAAAGAACTGAACATTTTCAGTGTACCCCTGGCGGTTTCCTATTCCGAGCATGACTGTGGAGGGCTGTCAAGCTGTATACCACGCTGGGATGGTACGGGCCGTCCTTAAATGGTTCACAGAAAAACTGTGCATGGGTTTCAA